AGTAAATTAGAGAGAGAAGGACTGGAGTTGTATACCTCACAACCCTGCCCATGAGTCCTCTGCTTGGCCATCTGTCCCCTTCCTCAACTCTTATCTCAAATTTAATGTGGAAAATAAGAAAAAAAGACCAAGAGGTAAAGAAGAAAAAAATAGCATGATGGAAGGATAATTCTATTTATTTTCAGCAACTTCAATTTGGACAAGGCTGCCCTACCAAAGCACTCAATTGGTTGAAGGGAAAAAGTGAACAAAGGAAGAATCTAAAGGACAGTAGAAGCATAAAAGATCAATTAACTTCCTCATACAGTCTAGAAACAATGAATCTCAAAGGAATAATCCAGAAATATTCTTTTATTTGTTCATTTAGCAGTATGTCCAGTTGTTACTATCCCAGAGGCTGGGGACATGGGGAGGGGGAAGATTGAGATTAGGGAGTAGACAAGCTAGCCCTTCCCTGTGGGAACAGGGACCTGATCATTCTTATTCACCGTTGCATACCCAGCACCGAGACATAACAGGTGCTCAATAAACATGGGCTAAATGAAGAAGAAATACAGTGAAGTCAAGGCTAGCCATTCTTACAGAGAAAAGACAGAAAATGAAAGAGTTGATACAACACATGATACTGATCAAGTCAATGATACAGGTAATATTTATCTTGGGGTAAGAGAGCAGAGAATTTTGTTGTTTCACACCTGAAATAGCAGTGTTTAGTAGCCATTCCCCTACAATACATGTTAACCTAGCAGTTCTCACTGTATTGGGAGCACTGCTGGTATGTCAGTGCCTAAAATGGCACTGTCCAATACAGTAGCCATTAGTCACAGATGGCTATTCAGATTTAAACTAATTAACATTTAATTTAATTTAAAATTCTGTTACTCATTTGCATTAGCCACAGTTCAATAGCCACAGGAGCCTAGTGGCTACTATCATCATAGAAAATTCGATTGTACAGCTCTCTTCCATACCATGCTACATTAAAACATAAAAGTAGCCAGAATTTTATAAATGAGAGAAATAAGACATGATGCATACATACATACACACACACAGAGAGAGAGAGAGAGAGAGAGAGAGAGAGAGCGCTAAATCGTTCCATATCAACTCAGCATCTAGAGGAGGCAAATCAACTTTGTTTCTGATAAATCTCACTTCCTCCCAAATACAGCTGAACCTTGAACCACCCAGGTTTGAACAGCATGGGCTTACTTATATACAGATTTTTTTCAATAAATATATTGGAAAATTTCTTGGATATTTGAGACAATTTGAAAAAAATTCATAGACAAACTATATAGCCTAAAATATCAAAAAATTAAGAAAAAATTAAGTATGTCACAAATGCATAAAATATATGTAGGAACTAGCCTATTTTATCATTTACTGCCATAAAATATACACATATCCATTATTAAAAAGTTAAATTTATCAAAACTTATGCACATAAACACTTACAGATTATTAATTCATTAGTGTATGTGCTAGGCTACCATGAAGCAACTGTGTAAATTACTAGGCTACCATAAAGCAATCATGTAGCTGCTTCTTCATTATCAATGCAAGAATCATTATACCTGTAAATAAATATGAATTTCTTTTTCACATTATTTTTTTTTCATTGTTTTTTTTTTGGTCGTGCCACACAGCATGCCTAATCTTAGCTCCCCGACCAGGGATCAAAAAAGTGCCCCTTGCAGTGGAAGCTCGGAGTCCTGACCACTCGACCACCAGGGAATTCCAATTTATTTCATTTCTGATGTCTAGTGTTAGTAGTACATATAACATCTACAGTTTTTTGTATCATTTAAGACAATAACGGGAGCTACAGTCGACAAGATGCTAGCAGGGGGCATGAGGATGGTTCAGTCCTCTCCCCACCCCCTGTGATGCTTCCCCTGGAGTGGCAGACCCTTCCCTTTTCAGGAACCCCTCCTCACCCAGTAATATTCACTTTCCTCTCTTCCCAGAGATTTCCTGATTCTCCGAGGATTCATAGACTTCACAGCTGATGAGGTGGACCTGATTTCAGCCCTGACTTGGAAGATCATGCTGAAGACGCCACTCATCTCCTCCCCCATGGACACTGTGACAGAGGCTGACATGACCATCGCAATGGCTCTGATGGGCAGTATCGGTTTCATTCACCACAACTGCACTCCAGAGTTCCAGGCCAACGAGGTCCAGAAGGTCAAGAAGTTTGAACAGAGCTTCATCACGCCTGTGGTGCTGAGTCCCTCACACACCGTGGGCGAGGCGCTGGAGGCCAAGATCCAGCATGGCTTCTCCGGCATCCCCATCACTGAGACGGGCACCAGCAAGCTGGTGGGCCTCGTCACCTCCCAAGACATCGACTCCCTCACCGAGAAGGACCACACACCCTCCTCAGTGAGGTGATGACACCGTGGAATGAGCTGGTGGTGGCTCTAGTGGGTATGACACGGAAAGAGGCAAATGAGATCCTGCAGCACAGCAAGAAAGGGAAGCTGCCCATTGTCAATGATCAAGACGAACTAGTGGCCATCATTGCCCGCACCGACCTGAAGAAGAACCAGGACTACCCTCTGGCTTCCAAGGATTCCCACAAGCAGGTGCTGTGTGGGGCGGCCATGGGTACCCATGAGGATGACAAATACCACCTGGACCTGCTCACCCAGGCGAGTGCCGACATCATAGTGCTGAACTCATCCCAAGGGGACTCTGTGTATCAGATCGCCATGGTGCACCACATCAAGCAGAAGTACCCCCACCTCCAGGTGACTGGGGGAAATGTGACAGCAGCTCAGGCCAAGAACCTGATTGACGCTGGTGTGGATGGGCTGCGTGTGGGCATGGGCTGTGGCTCCATCTGCATCACCCAAGAAGTGATGTCCTGTCGTCGGCCCCAGGGCACTGCCACATACAAGGTGGCTGAGTACACCCGGCGCTTCGGGGTGCCAGTCATAGCCGATGGTGGCATCCAGACCGTGGAGCATGTGGTCAAGGCCCTGGCCCCTGGAGCTTCCACAGTGATGATGGGCTCCCTGCTTGCCGCCACCACGGAGGCCCCTGGAGAGTACTTCTTCTCGGATGGCGTGAGGCTCAAGAAGTACCGGGGTATGGGCTCGCTGGACGCCATGGAGAAGAGCAGCAGCAGCCAGAAGCGCTACTTTAGCGAGGGAGATAAGGTGAAGGTCACGCAGGGCATCGCACGCTCCATCCAGGACAAAGCCTCCATTCAGAAGTTCGTGCCCTACCTCACAGTGGGATCCAGCACGGCTGCCACGATTTTGGTGCCCGTAGCCTGTCTGTGCTGAGGTCCATGTACTCAGGAGAGCTCAAGTTTGAGAAGCAGGCCATGTCAGCTCAGATGAAGGGTGGTGTCCACGGCCTGCACTCTTACAAGAAGCGGCTGTACTGAGGACGGTGGTGGAGGCCAAGGCGGCAGAGGGCTTGTGTCCCAGGGTCCCTCTTTGGGCACAGCCTCCCTCCATAACTGAGATGTCCACAGATTTGCACTACTGGTTACCCAGCACCTTTCCAGGGAGACAGGAGGGGAGGCCCTGAGGCTCTGTGGCCCCTCTCTGGGCTTCCGCCACAGGTTCAGGACTGCTCCCAGGCCGGGCTGCCCTGGGAGCCCCCCCAGGTTCCTCCTTCTTCAGTTCCCCTGAGCCCAGCCAGCCTAGGCTCTCAAGCCCTGCGCCTGCCTCAGGTCTTTCTCATTGCAGTCTGCTCCAGCTCGGCTCCCACCCCGGGACAGGTGGCCCCCCCGGCTTCTCCTATAGGGCACCTCCCTCCCTAGCCCCACCCCAGAAATGGTGCTCTCCTGGCCCTGCCTCTGGCCCCTTCCTGGGCTGCTGCCCCCTCAGCCATGTGGCACTTCTGGGTTCCTGACCTAGGCCAGAGGAAGGTCTCTGCCCCCTTCCCCTGGCCCTGGACTATCCAGGCCCTGCTCCTCAGGCCGCCCCATCCCTGGCCCTGATTCACCCCCGTGCCCAGGTGTACCATTCCTGTCCTCTCCTCTCAGCTGCAGCTGAAGGTTTTAACTTTGCACACTTTGGGGTCACAGTTGCATCATTGTATGTTAAATAATCTGAATAAATCAAGAGGTTTCAATGCCTCCACAAAAAAAAAATAATAATAATAATGAGGTAGGTACTAACAGATGATTCATCTTGTAAACAGATGACATAAACCTATGGTATCGCTAAATACAGTACAGTACAATAAGGGCATTTTCTATTCCTTATAATTTTCTTAATAACATTTCCTTCTCTCTAGCTTACTTTATTGTAAGAATACTGTATATAATACATGTAACATACAAAACATGTGTTCACAGACTGTTTATCAGTAAGGCTTCCGGTCAACAGTTGGCTATTAGTAGTCAAGTTTTGGGGGAGTCAAGTTATATATGGATTTTCGACTGCACAAGGGGTCGGTCCCTCTCACACCCACATTGTTCAAGGGTCAAATGTATTTTTATTTATTAAGTTAGTAAAGATAATTTTGTACACATAGGTCTAGCAACCACTGGGAAACACCAGAACTATATATTATCACGTATTTTTACCCAGTCTTTCAAAACCCAATACCATCTTGTTTTTAAACATCATCTGTCACTCTTTTTTTAAAAATTTTTATTTATTTATTTGGCTGCATCAGGTCTTAGTTGCAGCAAGCGGGATCTTCATTGCAGTATGTGGGATCTTTCTTTGCAGTGCACAGGCTTCTCTCTAGTTGTGGCACGCAAGCTCAGTAGCTGCGGTGCGTGGGCTTAGTTGCCCTACAGCATGTTGGATCTTAGTTCCCCGACCAGGGATCGAACCCACGTCCCCTGCATTGGAAGGTGGATTCTCAACCACTGCACCACCAGGGAAGTCTCCCAATACAATCTTATCAAGCAATATCTGCCAAATCCTGACATTTGTGGACTTGCATACACCTGTTATGGACCCTGGATGAAAACCTTGTAGCAAGTTGACAATTCACCTTTAGAATTCCCTGTGTGCTGGAATTTAGTAACTGATCTGTCAAGCTACAATTACCAAGCCAAAGTTGCATTTTATTTCCAAATGCCCATAGAAGCATTTTTATTCAAACTGGCAAGTCTCTGGTTTAAAAAAGTTATTCCTTAGATTCTGCACTTCATGAGGTTATCTAATAAACAGACATTGGTTCACCAATTAGATGAAATCTGCATTTTTCCTAAACCATAAAATGAGCTGACTGAGGTTTCGTTAGCTGGAAATCCCTTGGTAAATTATAAAAAGTGAGACATAAACAGGACAAGCACCATTGCATAATGACTAATTACAAAAGTGAATGACTTTATGACAAAATGAGAGGTTAATTTGAAAACGCACCTGGAAATGAAAAACAAAACAAAGCTTAAAATAAAAAGAAATATAATACACTAACTTGGATATATGTGTGTGTATATATATATATATGATTTAATAGCTGTATTTGTTAAATACAAAAGGAAAAGAGGATCAGACTATGAGTAAATCTGGAAATACTTGCATATCCTCTTTGCCTTAATTAACTCATCCCTACAATGGATATCAGTGAGTTCTCTCTTCTTAATAAGGATTAAATAAGACCACCATGGAAATAAACTTGGGAAAGGATATAACCTTTGGAGAAAGTAGCACTAAATTATTTACAAACTGTCCAAGTTAAAAACAGTAGAAGATAAAGAACTCTAATTATGCAAGAGGTCAGTAGCTCTTTTGCAAACATGAACATAAAAGGACTTCCACAGGGACTGGCAAATCCTGGACCATTAAACATTCTCCTAAAAACCTAAAACCCTCACTTTGCAGAGGGAACACCAAGTGACCATTCTTTTTTTTTTTAAAAATAGATCTTTATTGGAGTATAATTGCTTCACAATACCATGTTAGTTTCTGTTGCACAGCAAAGCAAATCAGCCATATGCATAAGAAAGCACAAGAGATCATATTTTCAAATGGGCAATGTAATGAATGATATGATAAAGGTTTTTCATGCCTTACTAATTTTGATAATACACGTCACATTTGATTAGCCTGGTTAAGTGTCCATTGTCAAGAGCAGCTTAGGTAGAGAGAAATGTCCTGTCTTACTGTCAAATTGTCACTTAGATTTATTTAGAATTTCATCCCTATTTAAAGTTCTCAGATCAGGGTAAAAATTAAAGGCCTTCCCGGGCTTCCCTGGTGGCGCAGTGGTTGGGAGTCCGCCTGCTGATGCAGGGGACACGGGCTCGTGCCCCGGTCCAGGAGGATCCCACATGCCGCGGAGGGGCTGGGCCCGTGAGCCATGGCCGCGGAGCCTGTGCGTCCGGAGCCTGTGCTCCGTCCGCAACGGGACAGGCCACAACAGTGAGAGGCCCACATACCGCAAAAAAATAAATAAATAAAATAAAGGCCTTCCCCCAAATGCTTTAAATACTGGAAGGGAACTCCAATATATAGTTATTGAAGGCAAAAAGGAATTTTAGTAACTTATTTTATAAAAATTTGACTTCGCATTTCTATCAAGAGGTAGAAGCAAGAACCTTGCCCCAAAGATTTGTTGTTAAAATACAGAACATGATACTTTCCTGCCAATGGACCTGCCTAGATGGCAGGGGGAAAAGAAACAACTAGAGTTCCTGCTATCCAATATTTGAGGCTAACTTAAATAAATCTCACTGGCATATAATAAAACAGTTTGTTTTATGCTCAACCACTATAACTCAAAAATAATAATAACTATCATTCATTGAGCAGTTAGTTTATGCCAGGCACAAGATTGAGTGCATTGCAAATATAATTAATGGCTGTATTAGATGGTTATTATTATCCCAATATTCAGATAAAAATATTGAGACTCAGAGTTTAAAACATACAGCATGGCCAAATCACTGGAAACCAGCAGAGATGGGATTTATCTAACACAGTCAAATCCCGACTCTAAAGTTTGGTTGTTCCTATATTGTTTCTTAAATTGTCCACAAAACATGTTTATGCATTTTTTTTAATTTAGGAGGAAAACAGATTTTTATTCCCCAGTTTCCTTGCTGTAAAGATGATATTGGGAGAATTCCCTGGCAGTCCAGTGGTTAGGACTCCACAATTCCACTGCAGGGGGCCTGGGTTTGATCCCTGGCCAGGGAACTAAGATCCCATAGGCCACCTGGGGTGCAGCCAAAAAAAGAAAAGAAAAGAAAAAAAAAACTTCAAAAATAAAATGGTATTGGTACTGTCTTCTTCGATTGATTCTCATGTAGGTTAAAATTGAAGTAGATATGTAAACCTGCTTTAAAAATTAACTTTTTGGGCTTCCTTGGTGGCACAATGGTTGAGAATCTGCCTGCCAATGCAGGGGACACGGGTTCGAGCCCTGGTCCAGGAAGATCCCACATGCCCCAGAGCAGCTAAGCCCGTGCGCCACAACTGCTGAGCCTGCGCTCTAGATCCCACGAGCCACAACTACTGAAGCCCACGCACCTAGAGCCTGTGCTCTGCAACAAGAGAAGCCACTGCAATAAGAAGCCCGCTCACCGCAAGGAACGGTGGCCCCCCGCTCGCCACAACTAGAGAAAGCCTGCACACAGCAACACAGCCAAAAATAAATAAGTAAAATAAATTAATTTAGTTAAAAAAAAATTAACTTTTTCACAGGTCCTACGAAGGTCTTCTGCCCATCTCAATTCCCCTACAAAAAATGGTAAGGTTTGTTACCTCCAAGACGGAAAACAGCTGGATGTTAAGAAAGGGTAGAAAGGAAGATTTTCATTACATGCCCTTTTACTCTTCTGAACTACTTTAATCAAAAAAATAAATAAAATTTAATTAAAAATAATTTCTTCAAATGATCCATGTAGTAATAGATTATAGCTTGAGACATCAGTATGAATTCATGCCTGGCTTAATATAGGTACAGATGGTTACATATAGAAATATTCACAGATATGTGTATATACACAGCTTAGTATGCACGCATATATTTTTTGCTCTGTCAACTTAGAGGGCCTAAAAAAAGTAAAGATACCCCTGTAGCAACAAGCATACCTAGTGCCCAGGTCTTGGTTTCTGATATGATTTTGCAATAAAAAGAAAGGGCTCCTTCGAGAAATGGCTGATTCTAAGACTGGGGCAAGAATTACAGAAGATGAGCCTAGAGCATTTTGTACTGTCAGAAAGTAGGGAAGTACTCAAAAAACCCAAAAAGCCACATAGATGGGTGTATATCGAATTAGTACAGAAACGAGTTCCCAGTGGCCAAAGCTGAAACAATTGGTAAAGAAAATAAAGTAGTACTGGATTATAAAGCAAAGTATAAAATAAATATCCAAGAGTCTACACTAACATAAATAAATGACAGAATAAAGTAACAAATGAGGGAGAAGAGACAAGTCTTTTGTGCAGAAGAATTCCAAATAATTTATGT